CCGGTCCGCGGACCGGGGGTTGGGGATCACTGGACTAGAAGACCTCCAAGGTTCTTTCCAACTCTGTTATTCTGACTGATTTAGACCACATTTATCCACTGTTTTATTTAAAAGATTTTAAGGAGATTGCATGTTCACCCAAGACTGGGAATTTGGAGACCAGAGAATCAGTGTGAAAGGTTAGGGTGTGGGCTCAGATTAACATCCATTCACAACGATGAAAACTTGGGGAATGACTGGTTCAGTCCCTCTCAGCCCAACCTCTTATTCCCAAGAGGGTTGCTGGGAATAAAATATTCATATTCTGATGATAAAATGGAAGAATGCTTTGATCAACATAATAATTGCAACAATAAGAAAAGCAGAGGTCCAACACTTCCAGCAAACCAGAGTGTGAAAGAGTGATTTACACCTATTTCATACACTGGAAGGCACTGAAAATTCATTTGTCAACTATATGCACATACTATTTAATGTCCATTATTACAGCAGATGGAATGAGAAATTATTCCGCATCTCCAAAATGCTATTTATACCTTATTCACACTGAGAACTAGCATATGCAAAATATGTAAGTCTATGAATGCCTTCTGCCCCCAGATCCATACCACCATGTTAAACAAGTATTGCCATTCCTGATGATTGAGTATAACATTAAGGCACGGTTCACACATCACCACGTTAATTTATAATGTTTTGCAAACTCAACCATTGTTGTTTTAAACCATGATTAAAAAGCAACGGTGTAATCTGATCAGCGAACCTGTTCAGTTTCACCCAAAACATGAAAACCACAGATAAATCCACAAACCTGTTCTGAAGTAGATAAGGGCAATGGAAGGGAGCCTAACTCCTTCAGGTATTCATTAGTCTCTTTGGCAAGCCGGTTTGCTGTGTTTTGCAACTGTTGTCTAGGAATAAACACACATTTCAGTTACATTTTGGCAAGGTTGTGTCCTAGTTCGATTTCCTTTTAACTTTATACTGCCATCTATTTGAATGGTGATTTGAACTGGATTATTTCTTTATTGACTCAAACTGTTCCCCTTGCCCAATCCAAGATCGGTCAAACTCTGCTTTTCGAATTAAAACAACTAACTTAGATATCCATCCTGCTTTCAAAACCCAGTCCATTGGATTCAACAGTTTTTGTTTTTGTTCCGAATTGTTTCTTCCTTGAGCATTTCTCCCCTACTTGACAATTTTTTAAAGATTGGATTCACAATGTCTCCATTCAGTCTGATTTAAACAACACTCCATAACAAAACAAAACAAAACAAACCCCCAGAACTCCTTGTTATTCAGTGGTGAAAAAAAAATGCTTTGAATGTGGAAGTTATTTAAAGCTTATGTCCAAGCCTATTCTTAGAATTGCTGCAACTCCATTATGAACAGATGGAACAGGAGTTTTGCAGATTCTGCTCATAAAGCAGTGGTTTGAGAAGCTATCCCATGTCACTTTCTTTATTCTCTAGTTTCTTGCTTTCTGGCATTTAATTCTTTTTTTTTTTTTAAATTCAGCTCTTGGAGAACAATTGGGGTATGATTTCCTTCTGGCTCTTGTAACAAGGGGATTTTGTTCATATGATTTTTTTTTTTTTGCTTAATTTCTAGAACTTGCGCATTTTAAAATCCACACAGTATTGTGAAAAATCAGTTAGGACTTTCGATATCTTGTAATGCTATCATACAAAATTATCCAGTTCCTGTTCTTATCTATGCACCTGCTCTTTTTCTCTACCTTGTTCATGTTCATAAAACTGAAACTAAGCTATCCACAAATCACCTTTTTTCTTAACCCATTTGTGTTGGAAATTATTTACAATATTAAATTATTCTAGTCTATGAATTTGTTAGACCACAAAGTTAAGATCTCCAAAATTAACGTATCTGATTAGCCCTCAAGCCCTGCATACCTTAAAATGCTACTCAGATCATACTTACAAGTTTTCCTGCAGTTTGGTTGAATCCTGCTTGGTTCCCAACTGATTCATCAAATTCTTTATTTGAGAAGCTGTAAAAAAAAACATATTATCGTTTGGCATGTACATGTAATCCTCAACTTACAACCACAAATGAGCCCCAAATTTCTGTTGCTAAGCGACACATTTGTTAAGTGAATTTTACAACCTCCCTTTCCACAGTTTTTAAGTGAATCCCTGCAATTGTTAAAATTAGTAACACAGTTGTTAAGTGAATCTGGCTTCCCCATTGACTTTGTTTGTCAGAAGGTCGCAAAAGGTGATCACATAGCAATAGCAATAGCAGTTAGACTTATATACTGCTTCATAGGGCTTTCAGCCCTCTCTAAGCGGTTTACAGAGTCAGCATATTGCCCCCAACAACAATCCGGGTCCTCATTTTACCCACCTCGGAAGGATGGGAGGCTGAGTCAACCCTGAGCCGGTGAGATTTGAACAGCCGAACTGCAGAACTGCAGTCAGCTGAAGTAGCCTGCAGTGCTGCATTTAACCACTGCGCTACCTCGGCAGAGAGACATTGCAACCATCATAAATACGAGTTAGTTGCCAACTGTATGGATTTTGATCACATGACTATGGGGATGCGGTAACAGTTTTAAGTGTGAAAAAGATCTTAAGTCCCTTTTTTGAGTGCCCTTGTAACTTTGAATGGTCACTAAACAAACCGTTGTAAATTGAGAACTACCTGTATGTTCCCCACTGAGTTATGAGAAAATGAGAGAGTGTGAATTATTTGGTGCAACACAAAGTCTATGAGTAATTAAAGTGGGTTATTAAACTGAGAGACTACAGTCATAACCCACAACAATGAGGAAAGTCATTTACACTTGACTGCCTTAAACATCAGACTGTTACTTCAAATTCTAGACTCTTATAATCCTCCCCCTGCAAACATTTTTTCAATGACTATGAAGTCATCAGAAACCAAGCTTGACTGAAAAAAAATGATTATTTTTTACTTGCAGGACACAAAGAATAAACCAATCAGACACAGTGATCTTAAAGACATCTAGGAAGGATAGAGGGATTGAACAAATAAATGGAATTGTTGGTTCCAAAGTAATATCCCTCATTTGCACTGACTCTATTTATCTATCTTAGCAGCTGTTCTAGTCCCAAAACAGGTATGCAGCTGTTTTATTCCATCCCTATTGAATAATGGACCCATTCACAACAAATGTGAGCATATAAACCTGGCTTAAAGTCAGAAATGAAGAGTCATCTTCTAAAATAGTTACTGATTACTGATAAGTAATGTATAAATCAGGGGTCTCCAAACTTAGCAACATTAAACCTTGTGGACTTCAACTTCCAGACTTCCTCAGCCAGCCATTAAGTCCACAAGCCTTAATATTGCCAAGTTTGGAGAACCCTGGTGTAAAAAATTCCAGTGCTCACAACTTGTCTCAACAAAGTTACAACAATGAGTAGATGGCTTTAGTGCACAAAAAGACTTAAATAAAATCAGACTATCAGGATGCTAATCTGGCACCATTGAATCACATGCTTAGAGGCAGCTATAATTTTCCAATTATAAATTGAGAAACCAAAACAAAAAACAATCCACTAAAACTCCTGACATTCAACAGAAGAGGGATTGTTTAGACCTCATGCTATTCTGGGTCCTTTTGGAGAACAGCAATTCATCTAATTCATGTTACTCTGGGCACTTTTTAGGAACAGCAATTATTAGTAACATCAACATATTTCTCCCTAAGTCATGGGGAAGGCTGCTATCAAAATTATTTCATCTATTTATGACTTATTGTTTAAATACGTTGATGTGAGAAGAGGCTAAATTAAAAAAAAATGCCATCAAGGAAATGCCAGTGAGATTGCTAGTCAGTAATGACATGCACTAATATCTTTTATTACAAAACAAAAACGAAAACAACTCTTCCCTTATTGAAAAATGAAGTTCTGGGATTATTTTTTTTGGCAGATATCAACACGCATTCTGTAAATATGTTTTAAAAGTATTGATTCCAATCCTAGTCCATAATGTGGATTTCAGAAGATCTGTTGGAGATTAGATCCCCATAAAAATGAAGACATTCTCTGATGAAGAAGCCAATTATGCGGCTTATAAACTTAAAATAAAAGCCCCATCCAGCTGCAGGCACTTTATAGCCTAGTTATGTTGCATACAAAGCTTCAGTCCATTGATCTCTAAAGCTGCACAAACAGGACAATTCAAGCCTATGTTGATTCCTCAGCAGGCTGCAGGCTGTGCCAGTAGGAGATCATCTCTCATATTAAATGTGGGTGTGATTTGATCTCATGGGGAAAATTAAGGACCTATTCCTTGAACATTTTTGTCGTATCAGTTTGCCAGCTACAAGCCCAAAATGAAACCAATAGGAGCTATGACTTAACTTAGATTTGCTCATTTTGCTGACCACTTCCTTGTAATGCTATGCAAAGTTTGGTGTAGTATTGAGTTTGTTGGCAAGAAAATGGCAAAGCCTGAATTCCAGCAGTCCCCTGGGCATGAAAGCCAGCTGGAATGAGTTTATGTCAATCACTCTCAGTCCTGTCTACCTTACAGGACTTGTTGTGGGGAAAATAGGAGGTGGGAACAGACATATCATTACCTAAACTAGATCACATCATCAATGCTGGAAGGGAGTGGAGTCTGCTCTTAATTTATATTCTATTGGCTCGGCCTGTCAGTGCTGATGAGAGTGGTCTTGGAATAGCTGTAGTGTTTTGTTTTTTTTCCTGTTAAAAATATTTGACTTGTTTAAATATTTACATCACCATCTCTATCACACTAAAACTATGGACAGCTTTCTCAAATACCCTGATCTACTGTAGAGAACAACCAGTAGGCAAAAATGGGGATAGATAACACCATTATTATCATCATCATCATCATCATCATCATCATCATCATCATCATCATCATCATCATCATCATCATCATCATGTTAGCTATTAGGAAAGAGATAGTACCTAAGTTCCACTTACAACTATAACCATGTTGCTTGTATCTTTAAAATTGTTTCATTTGTTTCCTAGTATAATTTGATTGCTTATTAGAAACCTATGACTATCACTAAGTTTTGCATCTTATGATTCTTGATGAATGGTATTCTATTTTATTTTTGTTTATGTACACTGAAAGCATATGCACCAAAGACAAATTCCTTGTGTGTCCAATCATACTTGGCCAATAAAGAATTCTATTCTATTCTATTCTATTCATCTATTCTATTCTATCATCATCTTTTATTCATTAAACATGAAACTCAATCAACTGAACATTTAACACCAACATCATTGACTGCTGCTGATGGTTGATAATATTTGTGATACATTTTGAGTGTTCACTTTATTAATTATTATTAATTAGTATTATTCGTATTAATGAGGACAGTCTTCTAAAACGTTGCATGCAAATAGGGATCATGCCTAGACTCTTAGGCTTTGGAACTGATTGCTACTATATTTCTGATCCCAATTCGTAAGTTCCAGTATTTAACATTTTAAACAGATACACACTTTCTTTAAATGTTAGGCGATCGGGTGGATGTGACCAATGAAGACGCGGTGCAAAGGCTTTAAAATAAAAGAGGTTAGCGAGAACTGGGAAGGGGGCGGGGGATATAAGAAACGGCGTCATTTCTAAAGGAAAGATTTTTGTTTTGTTTTGTTTTGGAGGGAGGGAGGGAGGACGGGATAATCCAGGAGATGATGGGAGTTATGTGGGTCAAAGAGATAGAAAGCATCACTCACTGCATTGTGCCAGGCGCTGGATGTTGGTGCTGCAGGTCTGGATAATGGTGCTGAAATCTCGAACCGGAAGCCCCCCAGGCCGGTAAGTCTCTAACTGTCCGTACGACATAGTTATCTCTAAAGCCTCAGGGAAGGGGAGAGAAAAAAAAAAATCCAGAAAACACAACAAGAAAACAACCCCAACCGAGAAGGACAAAAACCTCCGATTTATCTGTCAAACCGAGACCCTGCCGACGCCTCCACAACTGCGCACGCGCACCAGGCAGGCCCGACCTTTTCTCTTCCACCCCCCCTCCCCTTTCTCACGCAGGCGCACAGTAGAAGCCTAAACAGGACAGCCCACCTCCCGCCTTTCTCACTCGAGGAAGCGGGAGCTGGTTGGGCGAGGCGAGGGAAAGGCAAAGGGGCTGTACGCATGCGCCCTAGCCGCGAATGCTCGAAGGCTTGGTCCAACCGCCGTTATCTCAAATCGAAGCTCGGTGCCATGGCAACCAGGGGTAGCTTGGTGGCGGCGTCGGCGTTGCTGTTTAAAGGAGGCCGCGGTGGTCGTTGTGATGATGATGAGGATTCCCCAAGAGATAACGGCGTGGCGTCGGTTCCTTCTTGTCCCTGAACCGCTTTCGGTCGTCAGTGTGGAATGCTGGCGACAGTTTAACAGTAACAGAGTTGGAAGGGTTCTTGGAGGTCATCTAGTCCACCCCCTGCTCACGCAGGAGACCTATACTAGGGATTCGAACCGTCGAACCTTTCTGATCGACATGCTCAGCGTCTTAGCCACCTAGCAAGGCTACACCCATCGCCAGTTCCGTTGAATTAAATGGGGATTGATTGACTCTTCCGTAAAGGTGACTCGGATGAAAGCGAAATAACCGATATATCAATAACAGCGCTACCGAATTCAATAGGCCTGGCTTGCAGGTACGTGACCCGAGGATTACATCATGGATGTTATTCTGCGAATGCTTACTAGAGGTTAGTTTCCCCCTTCACATATATGTGCTAGTCGTTCCCGACTCTAGGGGGCGGTGCTCATCTCCGTTGCAAAGCCAAAGAGTCAGCATTGTCCGAAGACGTCTCTGTGGTCATCTGGCCGGCATGGCTAAATGCTGAAGGCGCACGGAACACTGTTCCCTTCCCACCAAAGGTGGTTCATATTTTTTTACTTGCATTTTTTACGTGCTTTCGAACTGCTAGGTTGGCAGAAGCTGGGACAAATAACGGGAACTCACTCCGTTACACGGCGCTAGGGATTCGAACCACCAAAGTGCCGACCTTTCTGATTGACAAACTCTGAGCCAACACACTAGAGATCAACGCCTTGAGGTCGGTGGCCTTTTTTGCAGGTACTTGGGGATTAAAGACCAAACTGAAAAATTGGGGGCAACTATCAGATGGCAGCAGGATTGTGGGTATCTTGGCTGCCACTTACTAGTCAATGGGATCTTGCAGTCTTGTAAAAATACCCCTTGGAAAAATTATCCTTGGAAATGAGTCAAAAAGTGACAGCCCGCTAATATTGAATGCCATTACCAATAATCTAGTGCAGGGGTCTCCACCCTTGGCAACTTTAAGACTTGTGGACTTCAACTCCCAGAGTTCCTCAGCCAGCTTTGCTATCTGAAGAATTCTGGGAGTTGAAGTCCACAAGTCTTAAAGTTACCAAGGTTGGAGACCATGACTTGTTCATTAAACCACGTCTGAAGCAAATTCTGACAGAATAATCAATTTAAAATCAATAACACTATTGATATTTTCTGATTTAATCCTGGAGTTTTCTACATTTGAGCCCATCCCAGCTAATCAATTAACCATAAAGAAATAAATCTGTCAACTGGTAAGGTTTAAAAGTTGCAATTTTTAAAAATATGTTTTATTGGTACATCTTTTCATTAAAAACATAAAAAATTCCATGTCTATCTGAACAGCGTGTTGTCTGGGCATAGTTAATTTTGAGTAAAGGTACAACAATAACCATAATCATACTGGTAATCTTAATAAACATGTCAATATTAATCATAAAATAATAAAACAATTAGTTTGTCCATCTTGCAATATTTACAATACAAATTGTTATTATCTCTTTGAATTCTTTTTAAACTCTAACCTCTGTTTTTGTTAGTTAACTATTAGTAAAATATATCCCATGTTAAAAAGTATTCTGTTTCTTCCTTTTCTTTTATCTTAAGTGTCAATCTATCCATCTCAGCACATTCTAATTTTTTTTATTACACTTTCATCTGTCGGGACCTCATCATTTTTCCATTGTTGTGCAAACACTATTCTTGCTGCCGTTACTATATGCAGAATTAAATACGTATTCCCTTTATCATACTGTTCTGGTAGTATCCCCAGCAGAAATATACATTTTTGTTGCAATTTGAATATCAAAACTCCAATTGGAGGGTATAGAATAGATCTCATAAATCCCTACGGTTCAGGGAAGTGTCTGGAAAATATCAGACACCAGGGGGCATCAGTGCACAGTAAATGTTTTAAATTGCACAAGGTTTATATAAATATTCTTAGCCAACTATTCTTAAGGCTATGTTGAAACTTCAGGCTTCCTTTGTTTATCTGCTGTTCAAGTTGCAGAACAGCAGGAGTTGGTTGAGTGCATGTGCCAATAGCATATTTGCTCTGCAAGCTCTACCCACAAGCCACAAATGAACAAACTCAACTTTCAGTTTTTTTCGAAGAAGTTTATAATGCCTTAGTAGATCCAGCTGCTGCTACCTCCATTACAGTGCTTTGTAATTCAAAAGTTCAGCCTAGAATCTTTCTTGGTTCATATCCGTGTGCTGAGTATATACTTATATGAGAAAAGTATAAATATATTTGAAGGTTTGGACAAAAAATTATATAGCACCAGCACTTTCTATGTGAGTTTTTTTTTCCTATTGTAAAATGCAGAGACAAGGATACAATAGACCTTGTGTCTTATACCTGTTCTTTAAAGGAGCAGATGACCTTTGTCCATAAAACAAAACCCTTTCTTATAGATGTTCATGAAAGCTGACAATTTAGATAGGCTGTTAAGACTGTTGGCTTTGGATGAATGAGGTTAAGCAAACATTGCTTTTTAAAAAAACATGCTGTATGAAGTCAAAGTTTGCTTCAACTAAAATTTGTTGAATAACCATGGGGGGCGGGGATTGTTTTGCACATTATTCAAAAGCCATCCGCTGTGGATTATAAATTGCAGTAGATGGATTCACACATAGCCCCAAGCCAAAATCAAATAAATGTTATCTTTGTTGAGCAGGATATGTAAATCTCTTGTTCTTTTCATTTATTAGATTACTTTAGTATTTGAGTAATGACATCTCAGTTTTATGAGGTTGTTTTAGATTATAATTAGCCCAGATCTCTCAAGATGAGGTGAGCTATAAATTGGATTTGAGGGCATATGAGTCAATTCATCAATTGTTAAATCTTCATTTATATGGTTTGATGTAGAAAGGATCCATTGCTTGTCTATTGATGCAACAATGATCTCTTATTTGCTCTTAGCGAGTTAAGTTGCATCATTCTGAAAGAATTGTTTTTAGGTGAGGCAAACTTGGACTGCAGCAATTTTATCTCTACTTCTTTTGTAGCCTTGTTTACTATCTGCAGTTTAAATGTATTAGTGATCAAAACTGTGTACGCTGCTAAACATGTTGCTTCCCAACTAATCTGGCCTGGTAATAGTGCAATTCCTGGTACCTCTACTCAGAAGTCACCCAGTGAATTCAGCGAGTTGGATTGATTCCGAGTGTGTCTAATACCGATTTCAAATGTTAGGGTTTCAAATGTGTTATTCAACCAAGGATGGGGTTCCTGTAGCCTTCTAGATGTTGCTGGAGTCCAGTATCCAATCATAGCCGCTGACCAGAAGTGATAGCAGCTGGACTCTAATAACCTTTGGACGGCTGCAGCTCTATAATCATTGGCTAAGGTCACATGACATACTGAACTGCAAGCTAACTAGAATGCATATTTGTATGGAAGTGTATATATATCCAACGGTAATTTTAACTCTGCTAAATCGTGAAGTGCTCTGGGTAATGTATTAAATGTAATGCAAACCAATTCCATGCGGACTATTTATGATTTAGTGTGTTATGTGAAATGGGAGTAATCCACAATTATATTATTAAATTCTGAACATTACTACCAGTTTTTATTTAAAACAGTGGCCTGGGAATCTTAGCGCTGAGGTGTGACTTTGTTATCCCCTCTATGTTCTCATTGCCAAAATTGCATTTCATCATCAAGGACATCTGGTTTCGATCCATACATTTATGACTATGGTCTTTGATAAATATTAGTGCCAAAATAAATGTTTGAAGACCTGCTCAGAGCACTGAATGTTTATATGAACATTTGACCTGAGAATTATATCTAATAATCCATAGTACAGTCCTCTATTATGTATTCAGAAATGTTCTTCTGCAGTCGTCCCTACCCTATTTTCAGGTTTCTGTTGGAAGTAGAATTCCAATTCCATGCATAATAGCAGTGATGAATGATGGTAGTCCAATTCATTTGAATGACACCAATCTGCATTCAGCCATATGGTGCTACAGGAACATAATGGATGATTAACAAAGGTTGGTGCTTTTATCGAAAACTAATTGCCCATTCATATTCTGGGGCATCAACAAATGGTGTGCATAAAAAGCAATCTAGAATGTAATAAAATTGTAACAGTAGAATAATGTTTGAAATCTTAGCTACTCTGCTTTAGAATTTTAAATTTTTATTAACAAAATAAAGATGGTTTCTTACATTAACACAATCTCTTGCATGTTTTATTATGTCACTACTCAGTGGAGTTCTATTCTCCACATTTATCTAGGATTGTAGCTTTGACCGAGAAGTAGAGGGGTTTAAAAAGAAAGTATAAATAGCAAGGTATGTTGTATACATTCATCCAGCCCACTTATATGCTTTTTTCTGATGATTCACAAGGCAGTTTGCATAAGTATAATGGATCCAGTTGTTTAAACAGTAATGCAATGATACAATTAGAAAGGTAGGTGATAGTTAAAAGAATCTAAAAGTAGAAATAACAACGCAGGGCAACATCTGTTAGCTGTCAAGGGCTATGCCAGGAAGAGAATAACATTTGCATTAATTCACATTATGGTTTAATGTAAACTAAATCACATTTGCACATCCTGTAAATTAATGATCAGCAGTCACAGCAATTGCCTTGTCCAACTGCAGCAAAAGTACCTTTTGCATCAGCTACGTAGGAACCAAGTGGCTAGAGTTCCAGCTCTT